TTGTGTTTGTTGTTTGTTGTTTGTTGTTTGTTGTTTGTTGTTTGTTGTTTGTTGTTTGTTGTTTGGTGTTGTTGGTTGTTGGTTGTTGCTTGTTGGTTGTTGGTTGTTGTTGTTGTTGGTTGTTGGTTGTTGGTTGTAGGTTGTTGTTGTTGTTGGTGTTGGTGTTGGTGTTGGTGTTGGTGATGGTGTTGCTGTTGGTGTTGGTGTTGGTGTTGTTGTTGTTGTTGTTGTTGTTGTTGTTGTTGTTTTTCTTGTTGTTGTTGGGTTGTTGTTGGGTTGTTGTTGGGTTGTTGTTGGGTTGTTTTTGGGTTGTTTTTGGGTTGTTGTTTGGTTGTTGTTGTTTGGTTGTTGTTGTTTGGTTGTTGTTGTTTGGTTGTTGTTTGGTTGTTGTTTGGTTGTTGTTTGGTTGTTGTTTGGTTGTTGTTTGGTTGTTGTTTGGTTGTTGTTGTGTTGTTGCTGTTGTTGTTGTTTGTTTGTTGTCGTTGTTGTTGTTGTTGTTGTTGTTTGGTTGTTGTTTGGTTGTTGTTTGGTTGTTGTTTGGTTGTTGTTTGGTTGTTGTTGTTGTGTTGTTGTTGTTGTGTTGTTGTTGTTGTTGTTGTTGTTGTTGTTGTTGTTGTTTGGTTGTTGTTGTTTGGTTGTTGTTTGGTTGTTGTTTGGTTGTTGTTGTGTTGTTGCTGTTGTTGTTGTTGTTTGTTTGTTGTTGCTGTTGTTGTCGTCGTTGTTGTTGTTGTTGTTGTTGTTTGGTTGTTGTTGTTTGGTTGTTGTTGTTTGTTGCTGTTGCTGTTGCTGTTGCTGTTGTTGTTGTTGTTGTTGTTGTTTGTTTGTTGTTGCTGTTGTTGTTGTCGTTGTTGTTGTTGTTGTTGGTTGTTGTTGGTTGTTGTCGTTGTCGTTGTCGTTGTTGTTGTTGTTGTTGCGGCTGGTGCTGGTGCTGTTGCTGCAGCTGCTGTTGTTGTTGCTGTTGTTGCTGTTGTTGTTGGTGCTGGTCCCGCTGCTGTTGCTGTTGCTGCTGCTGTTGCTGTTGTTGCTGGTGGTGGTGGTGTTGTTCTGTTGCTGTTGCTGTTGTTGTTGTTGTTGTTGCTGCTGCTGCTGCTGGTTCTGTTGCTGCTGCTGTTGCTGTTGTTGTTGCTGTTGTTGTTGGTGGTGTTGTTGTTGTCGTTGTCGTTGTCGTTGTTGTTGTTCTTGTTGTTTTTGTTGTTCTTGTTGTTCCTGTTGTTCTTGTTGTTGCTTGTTGCTTGTTGCTTGTTGGTGGTTGGTTGTTGGTTGTTGTTGGTTGTTGTTGTTGTTGTTTCTTGTTTGTTGTTGCTGTTGTTGTTGGTGGTGGTGGTGGTGGTCTTTGTGTTGTTTCTGTTGCTGCTGCTGCTGTTGGTGTTGTTGTCGTCGCCGCTGTCGTTGTTGTGGTGGTCGTCGTTGGTGTTGATATTGCCGCTGCTGTTGTTGTTGTTGTTGTTGCTGCTGCTGCTGTTGTTGTTGTTGGTGGTGGTTGTTGGTGTTTGGTTGTTTTTGTTGTTGTTGCTGTTGCAGTTGCTGTTGCTGCTGCTGCTGCTGATGTTGCTGTTGGTGTTGGTGCTGTTACTGTTGCTGTTTCTGTTGCTGCTGATGTTGCTGTGGGTGTTGGTGCTGTTGCTGTTGCTGTTGTGTTGGTGGTGTTGGTGTTGTTGGTTTTGTTGTTGATATTGGTGTTGTTGTTGGTAGTGGTGGTGGCGTTGGTGTTGGTGTTGGTGTTGTTCCTGCAGCTGCTGCTGTTGTTGTTGGTGGTGGTTGTTGGTTCTTGGTCCTTGGTTCTTGGTTCTTCGTTGTTGTTTGTTGTTTGTTGTTTGTGGTTTCTCTGGTTTCTGGTTTGGGGTTTGTCGTTTGTCGTTTGTCGTTTATGGTTTATATTTTGTTGTTTGTTGTTTGTTTGTTGTTTGATGTATGTTGTTTGTGTGTTGTTTGTTGTTTGTTGTTTGGTGTTTGTTGGTTGTTGGTTGTTGGTTGTGGTTGTGTTTGTTGTCGTTGGTGTTGTATGTTTTGGTGTTGTTGGTCTTGTCGGTGTTGTCGGTGTTGTCGGTGTTGTCGGTGTTGCCGGTGTTGTCGGTGTTGTTGGTGTTGTTGGTGTTGTTGGTGTTGTCGGTGTTGTTGGTGTTGTTGTTGTGTTGTTGTTGTGTTGTTGTTGTGTTGGCGTGGTGTTGGTGTTAGTGTTGTTGTTGTTGTTGTTGTTGTTGTTGTTGTTGTTGTTGGTGGTGGTGGTGGTGGTGGTGGTAGTGGTGGTCGGTGGTTGGTGGTTGGTGGTTGGTGGTTGGTGGTTGGTGGATGGTGGTTGGTGGTTGGTGGTTGGTGGTTTGTGGTTGGTGGTTTGTGGTTTTTGGTTGTTCGTTGTTCGTTGTTCGTTGTTCGTTGTTCGTTGTTGCCGTTGCCGTTGCCGTTGCCGTTGCTGTCCAACGTTTGCGGCGAAGGCCGCAACATGGGCCAAACTTAGGCAGCACCATGCAATGTTGACGCGCTGGCCTAAGTCCTCGCATGTCCACGCATAGTACCCAGCTGGTTTTGGAGGCATGCGTTCGTCAGGCACACCCTACATACATATAAATCCAATGTCGCTACAGCAAACGCATGGAATGGAACGCACTCTCAGACCTCGTAGACGAAAGGGGTGAACGGCAAAAAGTAGCAAACAATGAGCCAAGCCGGGGCCTGCAGTTTCTTTCCCGTACAAACACCCGCTCATGATCGCTTTTGCCCGATACGTATTTGTCACTGCTCCGCGCATGTACCCTGCATGTGCTTGCTGCAAGGTGGGAGCTTGTGTGGCGGGTTCTGCGCTGGGGGCAAAGATGCGCAGCGCATGTGAACTGCCGCAGTTGCTGTCTTTAAGATATTGAGATCCTGCGTTCAATCGTTTGGACGTTGGCAGTGGCATCTCAATGAGCGTCCTTTTCTTTGGACAAGATCTGAAGGAGCAAGCTGTTAGCCAAGGTTGGCGCAACTGCACGGCCGAGTTCAGCAATCTCAGCAGGAGAGAGAGCAAGAGTTCAGAGCTCAGTGACGGCGAACCAACGAAACCTGGCTGCAAACTGCCTGTCAAGCCAGGGATCAGGGATCGGTGTCCAGTAGTCCGTTGTTGAAAGGAGAAAGAACGTCGAGTCAAGACCATGGCAGTCCTGCTGCAGTTCAGTCTAGAAACAGATTTGGCGATTGAGGCTTCGAAAGCAGTTGGCAGAGCAGAAGGAGATGGAAGAGTTGCTGGCTCGAGCTAGAGAGGCTCGAAGCCAAAATTAGTGGCGAAGCGATGTGCGATTCCATGCCCAAACTCTCTCGATGAGTTGCGCAACCGAACAAAACTGTTCTGCTGCCTGAGACGACTCATCCAGGCATAGGCTGCATGCTGGCTGGCGTTGATGTATACACCGTGCCTTAGTTTGCCTTGAAATCTTGTGTTTGCGTGAGCAGGTTTCCAAGGTAGAGGGTGGGTGCATGTGCGCCAGAACGAGAGCTGCAAACCGAGTCACTGTTCTGACTATGTTCGGGTCAATTATGTCAGACGCTTGACAAAACGATCACAAATTTATGTCCTACGGATAGCTCGCAAGAAGTCACTGCTCAAGCCACAAGAGGCCGTGCAGTGCTTGCGGTCGTCGGTTGCGAACAGAGCTGTGTGGAAGATGCAAGCATTGCTAGAGCCAGAAGGAAAATGCCAGGAGTATCAGCAGCTGGCCACCATGGTTGCTGAGATGCGGCAGCATGACATGGAGAAACGGAGCTCGGCTCAGTGTGCTTCTGTTGCAACACTGAGACTGCCATCAGCCCAAGTATGTGTACTGCAATTGCGCAACGGGAGTCGGAGTTTATTTAAGGCACGGCAAAAACATTTGGGATGGTGAGCATGCGCGCCAAGGCCCGAGGCGTTTGCTGGGCCCGAGCGAGCGAGACTGCATCCAAAGCCGCCATTTTGTTGGCAACCCTCGCAGGCACAGCCGTGACGCGCTGGAACGGCGATTGAAATGTGAGGTTTGTGGGAAACCTCCTAGTGCCGATTTGTTGGAACCCAAACCTTATGCAGGGCAGGCTTCGCGGGTATTTTAAGAAGAACGCATGTGTCAAGTCTGGCAAGATGACGCCACATTGTGTTGTCAAAACACACCTTGGCCCTATGTTTCCACTGGGGGGTCCAGGAATTTTGGGGGAGGGGCCCGCAAAGGAATTTGGGGGGGGGGCCGCAACTGGAAATGGCAATTGCAATTGCTTGGTATTTTGCAAATTGCCTGTTCCTATCCTGGTTGCACTGAGCTGGGCCCTGCACGGTTTGAAAGCCTGCTGCCGTATTACCCCCTTAGCTGACTCATCATATGCTGACACTGATCAGGAATACGAAAAGGAGTTCCACGTCTCTGGTGAGTGTGGGCCACAAGAAGCTGCAGAGTCAGATTTGCGGAAGATGTGGACTCGAATCACAGTATCAGTGCTGCAGGGCTGATTCCTCCAAGGTATAACGAAGTTGTCACAAAGCTGGGCGACTTTGAGGATCAAGGCACCATTTCTGTTGCATGTTGCGCTCAAGGTCAACCAATCAGGCCAATCAAATGGACAATTTGCTTTGAGTGGTAGTTTTCTTGAGGCTGCTACCATGTCTGCCTATGTCTAGCCGGCTTTCAGATAGAGCAGAGTTTCATAGGCTGCGAGCGCAGCTGGCGCTTTGAAAGCCTCAAAGGTCCAAGCATCATGAATGCGTCCATTAAACATCCACCGATCACACAGCATCACTTAGTGACTTGATTCAATGTGGAAGTGCGACAAGCCTTTGACACCCAGCCTGAGAGCCTTGGAAGAAAGAAGGGCGCGAGCTGGCACAAAAAAGGAAGGCTGAACGAAGGCAAAAACGGTTGTGAAAAGGCTCCCGCTCAAAAGGGGAAGCCTGTCGTTTCATGGACTGAAGATGTAACCCGCTTGTAGGGTCATCGTAGGGCGTGTCTGCTCCTAGTGAGGGAGCTGTTGTATGGTGCCTTTCCCCATGGCACAGCCGGACATAGGGTGCCTTTGTCAACGTCGCGGCCGGTTAGAGCTTAGGGTGCCTTTCCGAATGGCGCGGCCGCTTACGGAGACAATCCTTTCGCTGGTCTGAGAAGAGCTTTTGTATCCTTTCCCAATGGCATGAGAAGAACTGTCGCGCATCACGCTCACGAACAACCAAACGGCCTCAAAAGCGAAAGCGAGTCTTTAAAACGAAGGCTTGAGGACATTCCAATTTTGCGCAGAAGGGTTTTGGCGGCAGCTCACATGGCGCCACAGGTTGGGTCATACCCGTTGGTGGCTCCTGGCGACTTCTGCGTGGCGGCATTTATCGATGGACACTTCGTATAGAGTCAGACGCTCAGCAAGACATTGCCAAGAGGCCAAAGCCAACACAGTCAGCACATAGCCCTAAAGCCAGCTTTGGCCTCAGAACCGAGAAGAAGACAGCCTCCAACACGCAGAGAGTGTTGTTGGCAGTGTTGGTATGCCTAAAAAAATTGAAGGGCTGGCAATCTTTTCAGGCAAGAAAGATCAAAACACAACTGACGTGCTGCGGCATTGGTTTGAATATCAATCAGCCGGTGCTTGAGTAAGCCTTGACGGTGCGATTGCAAGCAATCATATTTGGAAGGTATTGCACGACAGCTTCGGGAGGAATGCCGCCGCCCACGGTTTGTTGCCCACAGACGCCAAAGGTCCCACAGATCACTAATGACGAGGCAACAAGCGACGCCAATGCGGGAAACAGCTGAGGCGTAAGTGCTCCAACCGACCACAGCTGCAGCTGGGTATCCATGGCAGCTTGGGTGGATAACAGGATTTCTCCTGGACGGGCAGGGTGATTTTTCCGTTAGCATATGCTACTGACAACTGATGTTGCTTTGGCTGCGGTGGCATTTGGGATTCTCTTTCAGGCATTGCGAAATTCCATTGGTGATTTGCTGCTTGCCTCAGGTGCCAACCACAATCAGCCTTGGCGGTTGGTCACCACCTCGCGATGCTCCTGGTCGCGAGATGTTAGCGGCATAGACTGGCCAGCAGCGGTGTTTTTTGTTGCACAGAATTACTTTTCACGGATTCGAGTAGTTTCCCAGTTACTGAGAGCCTTAGAAAGAACCATAAGGGTTATATGAGCCTGAGGACGAGCCCTGGCAGGACAGGCCCGGTGGTGACAGGCTGGGGCTTGGTTGAATGAAGGTAGTTTGCACTGCCGAAGAGGCTTTCCTGCCAGTTCTTTTTCCCAGATTCTTTGTCAATGTCTTGCGTGTTCCCACAATGTGTTTTGCGTTTTCTGCGCACAATGCCCGGTATTCCTCGAAGATAGCACGGCTCTTGTACCTACGGCATAGCGCTAGAGTTGTGTTTGCTTGATCTGAGTGTGTTTGAACCCCCTTGGTGTGTCGAAGTGCGGAGGCTGATTGAGGAGGGCAGCTATGTTCACGTCGAGGTGGACATGAGAGGTGTGCACTGGACTTAGAAACGCAAATGAGGGCCTGCAGACGGCATAGAGTAGCTCATCTTGGCTGCCTGCATGCATTGCGTTGTCAGTTTCTTTCGTCATAAGGAATTCG